CGGGAAGAAAAAGATTTAAAGTAGATCGGGGCGGTGGTGGCGCACACCTTTAATCCCAGCACTCAGGAGGCAGAGGCAGGCAGATCTCTGTGAGTTCAAAGCAGCCTGGTCTACAGAGCTAGTTCCAGGAGAGACAGGATTGACTGTGACACAGAGAAACCCTGTCTCGAACCCCCACATCCCCTGCCCCCCAAATAAAGGATTAGAAGTAGGACTTGGTGTTAGAAACTAGGGCATTCAGGAAATACTGGTGTATGTCAGGCATCTAGAGTATAGAATACGTAGGTTGGCACCAGGATTGTCTCAAGATGTCTGCTTTATCTTAGTAAAAAAAAAAGGGGGGGGGGGACTCCTGAGGTCTTCATTTTAAGCACAGGAAGGAGTGAGTGAGTAACGTGGTATTAGAAGCCGGCTTGGGTATAGGACCTTTCCCAAGCCACTCTCCATTGGGGACTTTATGCTGGGGGACAGCACCTTCGTCTTCTGCGTTTCTCAGATGAGAGCCGAGAATTCTCAAGAACAAGAACAATGCGGCGGGAGCCGCTCTCTCGCGAGGGTCGGAGCCAGCTCTCTTGCTGCAGAATCCAGCAAAAGGCAAGACCAGCCCTCTCTGGGCCAGGGAAGGGTGGAGCCAGCTCAGCATGGCCCTCTGATTCCATCTCTCATGGGTCCTAAGCCCCCTGAGGTGACACAGGCCATAGACATCAACACAGACCCCAGCTACTGCTGGACCGTGGACCCAGACATGGCCATCGGCAACAGCTTGGGCCTGGACGACATCCTGGCTCTGGGTAGAAACACTCGCCACTCAGGCAGGGATGGTTCTAGCGGCAGCATGGCCCCTGGACACCACCAAGGCCTCAGGTTGCAGCCCCAACCCTGGGCTTCTATGTGATTTTTGGTGGCAATACAGGACTTGGACTTCAGCACAGACCCCAGCCACGGTAGGACCACGGACCCAGACATCATCCTCCTCAGCAGCCAGATCTGGATGTCACCATTGCCCCAGATGGCAGTGCAGGCCACTCAGATACCAACATGGCCCCAGACCTTGGGTGTCTGCATGACCTTTGATGGTAACAGGAGCCTCGGATATCAGCACAGATCCTGGCTGCAGTAAGGCCACGGACCCAGACATGGCCCCACCTCAGGTGCAGCTCTGGCCTGGATGTCACTATGGCATTGGGTAGCAGTGCAGGCCACTCATATCTGCATGTATCATGGCCCCCAAACACCAACAAGGCCACAGGTCGAGGACCAGACCCAAGGCTTCATCTGGCCCTTGGTGGCAACCTGGGCCATGGACATCAGCACAGATCTCAGCTGCAATAGGACCATGGACCTAGGCACGATCCTCAGCAGCAGCCCGGGTCTGGTTGTCACCATGGCTCCAGGTGGCAGCAAAGGCCACCCAGATCGGCACGGTCCAGCAGCAGTGTGGCCCCTAGACCATCAGGTGTTTTAGACAGGCACAGTAACACAGCTTCACAGAGTTAAACAAATGCAACATAAACAAAAGTGACACACCTTAAAATAATATTCTACTACAGACCTAGACATGGCCCTTGGCAGCAGTCTGGCCCAGACATCACCATGGCCCTAAAGACGTGGAATGAAAGGAGACCCCAAAAGAGATAAATAGCCATGTGTATATGGATAACTACCAAGAAGAGGGGAGCAAGCAAGGGCCATGAGGCACGTCTGCTGATGTGTACAGACGATCTAAAATAGTGCCATCTAATGCTTTTTTTTTTTTCTGATCTCGGGGATTGAATCCATGGCCTTACATGTTAGACAAATTCTCCACATTGAGCTACACCCGCAAAACCAGGGGTCACCCAGTGTTAAATGTCTACAATTGTTCTGCTCTGAAATAAACTTACACCCATGCCCCCAGAACCTCTACAACAAAGACAGCTTGTATGCATTAAAGCTGTATGTGAGAGAGAGGTCAGGGATTAGTGGAAACTGAGTTCTCCATCTGGGTCAGTGTGGCTGACACATGGGAAAATCAGGGCTCACTGGGAGAGTGTGGTAACCCACCAGTGATGGAGTACAGACTGGGGCCTCCTGGGAAAGCCGTAACCCACGCATCCCTTCCCCAGGAGACATTGGTCATGTCTGTGTGGGGAGATGTGGATACATAAAGTTCCACCCCAGGCAAGGCAACATTTGAGCCAATTTACTAGCCTCTCAAAAGACGGGATAATCTGATGAACTTTTACATGAACTCATGAGATTTATTTACGAACTTTACAAGAAACAGCCTCATAACCTCATTTAATAACTGGAGGCTATTTTGTTTTTAAATGAGTTTTACTCAGTAAACTCTTTTCTAGGACCCATAAGAAAAACCAGGTTTTAGCTGGGCCGTGGTGGCACATACCTTTAATCCCAGCACTCGGGAGGGTGGATCTCTGTTTGAGGCCAGCCTGGTCTACAAAGCAAGTTATAGGACAGCCAGAGCTGTTATAAAAAAAAAAAAAAAAAAAATCTGCCTTGAAAAACAAAAACAAAAACAAAAACAACCCACACACACACAAAAAAAAAAAAAGAAAAACCAAGTTTTAGTACTGGGAATAATTAACTTATATTTAAAAAATTTCCATTACATTATTTTTATTTTATATTTTTTGTATGTTCGGGTGTTTTGCCCACGTGTATGTCAGAGCACCATGCGTGTGTGGTACTGGTAGAGGCCAGAAGAGAGCATCAGGTCTCTTGGAACTGGAGTAACCGACTCCTGTGAGTCTCCACGAAGGCCCTGGGATTCAAACTCGGGTCCTCTGGAACAACAAATGCTTTTAACCACAGAGCCATCTCTCCTCTATTACATTTTTATTTATTTATTGTGTGTGTGTGTGTGTGTGTGTGTGTGTGTGTGTGTGTGTGTGTGTGTGTGTATGGGGGCGCATGCGGGTCAAAGAACAACTCTTGGGAAAACCCGACACTCTCCTTCTGATAAATGGATCTTGGGGATCAAAACCAGGATACTAGGTTTGGGATAAGGCATCTTTACCTGCCAAACCACGGCACCAGCCCAGTTTGACTTTTCTTGATAATTTAAAGTTTTATTTAATCCTGCATATGTGATCACTAGAGGATGTAGTTATATCAAGTTCTTCCCCCTTATAGGAGGTTGCTTCCCATCTTGAAAAGACTATCATATTTGGTTTAGTGCCATTTTTGCTTAGGAATGCTTAAGAAATTGAAAGAAAGGCAGGACTCCTGTAGTGCCAGAATCACAAGCTACATATTTTATTAGGTTCTAAAGAAGAAAAATGGAGAATAAATATGCTTCAGTAAAAATCCATGACTCGTCTAAAAGAGCCAACTTTGGCATTTGTAGCCCCCCAGTCAAGATATCTCCTGTATTCCCCGGGCCTCAACAGGTACTGTCGTCCCCTGTAGCTAGGCATCTCGTAGAGGACCCAGCAGCCTTCCATTACATTGAGGGAGTGGATTTCACTGAGGTGGAATCGGTCCTGAAGAGACAGACAGTCATCTGTGATCTCTGACATTTGTCCTCTGAACTCATCTCTCTCGTAGATCCTCATTCTGTAAGTGCCAGAGTGCTGGGGACGACAGACAGAAGAGGAAAAGCGAATGAACGTGGGCAGAAGCTAAATTTCCAGGCCCAGCATCTCCCGCCTCAAAACCCCGAGTCCAAGTTCGCATTAAGAAGCTTGTTGCAGGTTTCGGAAGCCTCTACTCCAAAAGCCTGTCACTGGAGAATCCAGGGCTTCAGTGGCCAATCGAGAAACAAAGCCCAAGCTTCCCCATGCTCATCTACCAGTCTGTGGTCCCTGGCAATCAAAAGTTGCTTAAAATAAAGCTTATCACACTTAATTAAAAAAATGGTTGAAAATAAAACTTATCATGTTATCTCAGCGCCTGTTGGTGAGACAGCCCTTTGCAAGGGAGGAAATCAAGTTACTAGAAAGGTTGCATTTTGATATATGGGAAGGTATTAACCTTCAGCTACTCTCTGCAAAACTTGTGTATTTGTGTTCACGCATCTGTAGATCAGAAGAGCGAGCTCCAGTGACAAGGCTCTGTCTTTCCCTTGTTCCCCTTTCCAAGCCTCAGTTTCAGCCCAAAGCAGAGCCCGACTCTCCAGCCTCCTGCTCGCAAAGGAATCCTCCCGGCCTTGGTGAAGCTGCCTTTCCGAGGCACCATGTCTCATATCTCTCACACCCCACCTGCCCTGGGAATGCTGTGGTCATTCTCCAGAAAGCATGAACCTTGAGCTTTAGTTATAAATTTGGCCTTTTTGCTGGTGTCTTCCCCAAAACAAGCTAATACACACGGCTCACTCCACACGAATAAAAACCAGAAGATGAGGAAAATAATCAAGTAGAAATCGAAGGCCAAGCAAGCCGAAACATGTTTAGATGAGACCGGGGGCATTCAGGGTGGTATGGTCCTAGACAAAGGTGCAGCCCAGGCTGGCCTTGAACTCTTGCCACTGCCTCGTCAGCATATCCTACCTACCCAACACACTTTTAGTTACCCAAACAGTACTATACTGTATTTATAGAGTAAGAAGATCTGGATTTTTGATTTGAAGTGGTTTGGAATGGACTAAGAACTTATATGGAGGGGAATTATATTTTGAACAAGTAGTAAATGCATTGTCTTCCATTCTATTTTCCTTAATAACTCTCTAGTGTTTGAATTCTCCACGGCATACACAATGTAAAAGTGGGGACGTGAGTTTTTGAAAAACTCACCACCAAGTTCCTGAGAAATGAGATTCCTCTCTCAGGTACCCTACTAGGTCACACACACACACACACACACACACACACACACACACACACACACACACACACACACACTAGGTGTCACACCCACTCTGTTCTCTAGTGGTGATGGCTGAGTTTAAGATCATTTGTGTTTCCGGGGGCCAGTTATAAAGACAGAGCTTCACTCACGTGGGGGATGAGGCGGCAGGAGCGGATGGAGTCGCTGAACCCCATCCACTGCTGGTAGTCAGGGTAGTCCCCACGCCTCAGGAAGTACTGTTGGCCTTGGTAGTTGGGGTGCTCATAGAGCATCCAGCAGCCACTGTCCACTCTGATGGAGTTGCAGCGGCTGAAGTAGGTCTGCAGGTTGGGGCAGTCGCTGCTGCACTCATAGCAGCGGCCCTGGAAGCCGCGGTCCTCGTAGAAGGTGATCTGTCAAGGGACCAGGCAAACATAGTGATTTCTCCCAGGCAAAAATGCTTCGTGAGGGTAAAGGTCAGGGTGCCAGGACTTACCTTTCCCATCTCGCTGAGAGTAGGTCAGAGATGCCCCCGATGCTGTGAGGCTCGAGGGGAGTGCCCCTGGTATATATAGCTATCCCGATTGCTGTCTCCACAGGAAATCACACAAAAGGGCCCATTCCAGTGAGTAAGGGGATTTGCAAGCTCCGAGAGCTCCCTCCCTCCCCCGGCTCATTGGGGTTGGCTGAATGGTTTATTCTCATTCTTTCTGGTAGGTTCGGGTTGCTCTGATTCACTAAAGCTGTCCTGTTGCCGCCACCAACGAGAAAAGTCTTTGCTCTTGTTTTTCAAAAGACTGAGCGAAGCTGTAACTCTATGCGTTTATTTTATAGCTTACTCGGCTTAAACGACTTCTCAAAGCGAATCCAACTTAGCAAGGCGCGTGCTTCGGATTTTTGTTTGTTTGCTTTACACTTTTTAAAGACAAGAATTTAAACAATAAGGCATCTTGAGTAAGAGAGATCTAAGCGATATGATCTGAGGAAGCATTCTGAAAAGCATAAAGCTTAGTTCAAATTCAAGACTCTGTGATCATTATGGTTAGTTGGGGCACTGTCTTGACTAGAATGGGTAACTCCAATTTGTGGTCTCCACCCTCACACCCTAGAACAGAGGTTTGGTGCAGACTAGGTCATCACTGTGACTCTGACTAGAAGGAGGAGAGCAGGTACTCTGTGCTTCCCACATTTCCCATCTCCTTAGAGAATCTAAGTCTTCCGTCTGCTGATGGCTAGCCAGTATCTGTCCCTCCTTCAAATGCCCAAAGGCTTTTTCTTTCTTTTTTCACAAAGCCTTCACTTCTTTGATGAGGTGATCTCATCAAAGTAGTATAAGCAGCCAGGCAGAAATGGTCCTAGCATCCCATCACCAACTTTCTCAGATTAGAGATACTGGACACCATGTGCATCATACATGTATTATGGGAACCCTGGGGTCTCCTAGATGACTTCAAAATGATGTCCTGTCAGGGCAGTTTTCAGATACTTAGAATATATTTGCTTTTTTCCCATCCTAATATTCTTTTTTCACAAATGAGTACTGACATTTTCCCACTGCATGGCATTAAGGATTTGCAAAACTATAAAGCAATGCATCTTTTCATTGTCTTTGTGTGGGGGAATAGGGTGGTTATTCATAGACACATAATATTTATGTAACACAGAAGAAGTTCACTATTCAAGACCCTTCAGGGCCATGAAAACCTGGAATATGTGTGGGTTCCAACAAGGATGATTGGAAAGGATCTGATTATCATCAAGTGACTGATGGACTTCCTCAAAGGCTGAGAACATAGTACGGCCTATGGTTGTTCTGTCATTCAGACTGGACACTGCACAGCGGTAATGGCTGAATGAATGCTGGCCAGGAGCAGTTGGGCAGAGCCTTCCCCTAAGCTACCATGGACATGATATCTGTGAAGCCATTGTTCCAATCAGTCTGTCACATGCTTTCATGGTGGGTGCCCTATAATAGACATCGGTATATGATAGGATCATCCCCATACTGTGTAGCCGTATCTCCATGCACACATCTGTATCCTAGACCTTCTTCCCCCAGCCTCTCCATTTCTTGACCCTGAACCAACTAGCAAGTGACTCATCACTGCTCTATGATTCCGTGAAGACTATGGCCTCAGGCTACTTTCCTCCACACACAAAGTGGGTGGATGACCAGGCTAGCTGTTTTGTCGTCTGTTTGTTTTAAGAAAAATTTTAAAAGTTTTCATTATTTATTTTATTAATAAATAATAAATTGATGTAAATATAATACATTTTTTGCCTGCAGCGATGTGTACACACTGTATGCATGCCCGGTGTCCACAGAGGTCAGAAGAGGGCTGTGATCCTCTGGGACTGCAGTTATAGATGGCTGTGAGCTGCCATGTGAGTGCTGGGAGTCAAACCCAAGTCCTCTGCAAGAGCAGCAAGCACTTCTAACTGCTGAGCCACCTTTCTAACCAAGGCTCCCTTCTTTAAGGTTGTCCTTTGGGAAGGTTTCCCTCATTGTTTGGAGACCACCTGAGTGAGTTGTCATCATGCAACAGCATGATTTTTGGTTTGAACCCCTACATAAAGCCAAGTCATTGGTGAACTGAGTCCACCTGTCCCCTTTCTTCTGGGGTTTCCTGTATGCAGTTAGAATCGCGAGATAACACAATGGCACTGGCTTAGCCAATCCCACAAGGAACTCTAGAGCCACCATGAACTGAACAAGGGGCTGGGACTTCGTGCCCCTTTATTGCTCAGTAAATTGATGTAGGCTGCCACCATGGGGCTATAATGTCGGATAACTTAGGCTCAGCAGCTTCCTGTAGCTGAAGAAAGTCCCGGAGGTACATTCAGCTTTGAGCCGTCTGTGTCTATGGGAAGCAGTGCCTTGGCCTGAGTGATGGTCTGGACAGTGTACCACAGTGCTCACTCCAAGAAGAAAATAAGGATTTATCTTGATCCCACTAGCTAAGGTAACCATAGGCAACACAGTGGCATCTAGCTTTTAAGGCATGTAAAGTCCATTTTATATTATTGTATTATGGTTGTAATATTTATACTATGGAGCACACCTCTCTTTTCTCCTGGTCCCTCTTTTAAATAAAGTGAATAGTAACATCAACTGAGGTGATCAATAATATTTAGCCTCTTAATGGAAGGTTATTTTTTGGTAAAGAAAAGCTGACGATCACACTGGACTCTTTTGTGGGGTTGGGGATGTGGAGAAAGGGTTTATATGGCTTATACTTCCACACCAAAGGAAATCGGGACCATAAACTCAAGCAGGGCAGGAACCTGGAGTCAGGAACTGATGCAGAGGCCAAGGAGGGGTGCTGCTTGCTGACTTGTTCTCCATGGCTTGCTCAGCTTGCTTTCTTACAGAACCCAGGACCAACAACCCACAATGGGCTGAGCCCTCCCCCGCTGGTCCTTGCAGCTGGATCCTATGGAGGCATTTCCTCAACTGAGGCTCCTTCCTTTCTCATGACTCTAGCTTGTGTCAATCAGCCAGTACGGTAATAATGTATGAGTGTTGGATTTCTAACTCTGCAAATGTGTCACAGTAATGTAAGGTTAGGGGACACTGGGTGAAGAGAGCACCAGAATTTTTTCTACCCTTTGCCGCTTCTCTGTAAAACTAACATTATTACAAAATATTTTTTTCTTTTTTAAATTTATTCTTTGTGTCTTTTGCATGGTGTATCTTCACACCATTCATTTTCCTGTCCCTTCGTATCCACCCTCTGCCCTTGCAACCTCCCCCCTCCAAAATAAAATAAAATTTAAGAGAAAAAAGAAGGAAAAACCGATCTCGTCATGGAAGCTGTAGTATGACGTGGCAAACCCTTTTATCCATATATCTTTACTTGTAAGTGTGCATTGCAGAGAGTCATTGGTCTGGTTCGAGGCCTCTGACTTCTGCTGCACTAGCAATGCTGGGCCCTCGCTGGAACTGCTCCTGGATATCCTGCACTTGTCTTGTATCATGGAGATTCTGCAGCTTTGGATCTGCAGGACTGGTCCATTCACATGCTCCAGCGGATAACATGGGGTGGGTGCAGGGGTGGGCCAACCCATAACCCTGGTTCTGGGCCTGGGTGGTTTCAGGATTAGTCAGCCTGCCAGCTCTCTCTTGCCACACCACTAGGGTGAGCTCTCCTGCATTGCCTTGGAGAGTTCACCCCTTGCATCGATGAGCAAGGGGTGGGGCCAGTTCTCCTGTTTTCACACCCTCAGGGTCAGTTCTCCCACACCTACACCTTCTGGGCCAGCTCTACTGTGTTGCCCAGGTGTGGCATAGGGGCCACTCTCCCAAGTCCTGCAGGTGATGAGGGGCAGGATCAGCTCTCAGACTCTTAGGACCTCAGATCCAGCTTTCCCACCTGCCTCCAGGCATTGATGGGCATGTGTGTGGGGGAGGACTTCTCTCCCCCACCCATGCTGCCGTATGACAGATGAGTAATAGTAATAGTTCTCCCGTGTTCACAACTTCGGGGCTGGCTCACCCACACCTCCTCCAATAGGGTTGGCTCTGTTGTGCTGCCCACACGAGGTGCAGGGCCTGCTCTCCTGAATGCTGCAGCTGGTCAGAGGACAATTTTAGGGAGTCAGTGCTCTCTTTCCAAAACATGGGCCCCAGGGATCAAACTCAGATTTTCAGGCTTGCACTTGTACATACAAACACACACATATAAATAATGAATAAATGTGGTATAAAATCTCAAAAAGAAAAATGAATCAAGACTAAGGAACAGAAGTTTAGAATGTGATCAGCTCTAATAGAATTCGAGCCTTGAACATGTCTCAGCATCAACTGTACTTCCTTGTGAAGGACTGGATTTGGCATTTGCCTTCTCCTTTTTTTTTTTTTTTTTGCTGTTTCCTTTTGAGCATTGGGATCTATTTTCTCCCTGCAGATGGGCATCTCATAACAGGTCCAAGACTTTCGTGGTCTGGGGATAGGAAGACGATGTCCTTAAGAGGAGGCGTGATCCTGAATGAAGAAGCAGTCTTCTGAGAGCTCCAACATGGATGAAGCTATCTGGTACAGTTTCATCCCTGGAGCTGGCCAGCTGTGATGAAGATTAGAACAGGAAGAAAGTAATGCCCTCTCTTGGTTCTATGGCATTAGAGGATCTCTAACAATTTGTAAAGAGAAACGAAGGTCGTATTTGTTGGGGGACCAGAGCACACAAATCAAAGAACTGATCTTGGAATAGGCACATGGCTGCCCCTTCTAATGGAAGAAGTAGGATTTCCTGTAATAATCCTGGGTTTTCATCATGATCGAGAAAAAGTGGCTGTTGGCTCTCCACTTCATAGGTGATTGAAAGTTTGTGTTCCTGGCAGGGGTTTGGGAATCTAATATCCGGTGGGCCCCAAGGATCCAGGCTGCTCCAAAGTTCCCAGGTGCAGGGCGTCTCCAGATAAAACCTCTGTCACAGCTGTCAGCCCCTGATCCAAGCAGCTTGTGTGGTGACTCATGCCACCCTAATAAAAAGGGAAGTTGATAGTAGGTCTTAATAAGCAGGAAGTTTATCCCCTGGTCCTGTC